AAAAATGTGTACTCCGTTTTTTTTGGGTTTAGTGTTCTATAGATGTCTGTTAAGCCCAAATGCTCTAGGTCCTTATTTAGAGCTTTAGTTTCTTTACTTATTTTTGTCTTGTTGATCTATCCATTGTTGATAGTGGTGTGTTGAAGTCTCCCACTACATATGTGTTTTCTTTGATGTCTTTTCAGAGAGACAACAGTTGTCTGATATATTTGGTGCTCTTTCGTTTGGTGAGTATATGTTAATGAGTGTTATTTCTTCTTGAAGTATTGTCCCCTTAATCATAATGTAGGACCATTGGGGTCTCTTTATTTTTTGAGTTTGAAGTCTGTTTTATCTGATATAAGTATAGCTGTTCCTGCTTTCTTTTTTGGCCCATTTGCTTGCAGGATTGTTTTCCATCCTTTGACTTTGAGCCTATTTTTATCTTTTGTAGCTAAATGTTCCTGGAGACAGCAAAAGGTTGGGTTTTGTTTCTTAATCCAGGCTGCAACTCTGTGTCTTTTTATTGAAGAGTTTAGTCCATTTACATTTAGAGTTAATATTGATATGTTAGCATCTGTATTTGCCATTATGTTTGTCTTTCCTTTGATTTTATTTATTTATTCTTTTAATAACTTTTTTTTTTTTTTTTTTGGTCTTCTTTCGTTGTTATTCGTCCTCTGAGGTTCTGGCTTTAGGATTCCTTGTAGTATTTTGAAGAGTGGGTTTAGTCGCAATGAAATCCGGAGTTTCTCTTGTCTGGGAAGGTCCATATTCTTTCTTCATGAGGAAAGAGAGCTTTGCGGATAGAGTATTCTTGGTTGGCATCTGTTTTCTTGGAGTCTGTTGACTATGTCCCTCCACTCTCTTCTTGCCCGTAGTGTTTCTTCAGAGAAGTCTGATGTCAGCCTGATTGGTTCCTTTTGAATGTTATCTGTTTCTTCCTCTTGTCAGCTCATTATTTTTCCTCTGTCCTGGATTCTTGGGAGCTTTACTATTATGTGTCTTGCTTGTTTTCCTTTCGTCGTGGAAGTTTGGTGTTCTTCTTGCTTCTTGTATATCAATTTTCAGCTCCTTCTTCTCATTTGGGAAGTTCTCTTCAATTATATCCATGAATATTTTCTCTGTTCCTACATCTCTCTCCTCTCCTTCTGGAATTCCATAACTCTTATATTTCCTTTCCTCATGGAGTCAGATAGTTCCCGAAGTCTTTCTTCATTCTTTTTCCTTCGTACTTCTCTTCCTTTTCTGTTTGGTTCTTTTTATTTCTGTGTCTTCAAGATTACTTATTCGTTCTTCCATTTCATCTATTCTGCTTTCATTGCTTTTCCCAGAGTTCTTAGTTCCTCCATTAATTCTTTGATCTCCTGCATTTCTCTTACTTCCCTCTTTAGGGACTCAATTTCTCTTCTGATCTATCACTTTTTTAATCATGGCAATTTTAAATTCTCTTTCTGGAAGGCTCAGAGTTCTTCCAAGTTGCTGTCGTTGCAATCTGGGATGTTTTCTTTTTGTGGTGTGCTTCTTTCCTGAGGAGTTTAGGGCGTGTGGTTCTTCTACTCCCTACTGTCTTTTTCTAATTGTCGTATGCGTTGGAACTGTGTTGCTCGGACTGACTGACATCTTGGGTGACTTCTCCGCTCCCCTCTGGCTCTTCAGGACCATCTTCTGTCTTCTGGAGCTTTCTGCTGGATTTAGCAGTTTTTTACTGAGAAATGTCCCTGTTCTCAAATGCGAAGCGGGATGCAGTCCCTGCGCCTCCGGTTTCAGGCACACTTCTCCTGCGCACCCGGTCTGCCCCGGACGTGGGTGCCTGCTCCCTCTGTGGCCAGACTGCTGGTCGGAAGGGGCCTGCGTGGAATAACTTCCCGGCTGGCCACTGGGTCCTCCAGAAACCTGCCCTTTTCAAGCAGTCTTAAGAAATGTCCTTTTTATAGGGTGTTAGTGACTTTTTTTTTCCTGGTCGCTAGGTGGCGCCAGAGATCTCTCCTTGTCCTTGGGGGCTGTTTTTCGCTCCCCCCACCCCGTGGGACAGGAACAGAGAGAATGGTAGGGTACACCTCAACAGCTTTGGGTGCTGTGTCTGCCTTGTGCCCCACCGTCGTGGAGAAACCACGCCCCGAATTTTCGTGCCCCGGTTCTCAGTTCAAAGCCCTCAGTTCCAGGACGGGCTGTAGCCCAGTTCAGTGCGCGGGAATGGCGCCTTTTGCACCGCTCCCGTGCCTGGGCGCCTGGTTCCTGCTCACTCAGGGAGGGACCTTCACCTCAGTGAGGACCTCCGCGCGTCTCCCCGCAACCTAGGTCGTCTCCCCGCAAGCCTAGGTCGCAGCGGGACGCTGGCAGCCGAGATCCAGGTCTGCACTTGCTTTTCAAGCGCACGAGCGCGCCGCGTTTCCGCGCAAGCTTACCGGCAGCCCGGGCTGGTGTGCGCGTCTCCCGGGGTCTTTGTTCTTCTCTAATGGCGCCCGAGCTCACCGCGCGCGGATCCTGCAGGGTTCTCCACAGCTCCCGTTCACGGGGTGTGGTGCTGCAATAGTTCTTTCCACTCCAGTCCCGCTTGCTGCGTCGTTTTTCGTTGTCGTTTGGTTTGTTGTTTCCTCCTCTCTGCGGTTGGAGATGCTGCCTCTGTGGCGGGGGAGGGGAGGGTTCTGCGCTTCCCTCCTTCTAGTCCCTTTTATGGCCACTTCTTCTTCGGGCAGCTCCTGGGCGTCACCCGTTTATCTTCCGTGTCCCAGTTCTCACTGGACCTGCCGCTTTTCCTCCCTATTAACTTTTTAATGGGAGATCTTACTCGCAGCGTCTCCTCACCGCCATGTTGCTCCGCCCCCCCTAAATCTGACCTCTTTTTTCTTTTTTATTATTTTATTTTTTTATAGAGGCATGTTTTTTATTTATTATTTATTTGTTTGTTTGTTTGTTTATACATGCACTGGGTACAGTCAGAAAGCGCGGGAGGTGAGAGAATTCACCAGAGCCAGAGCAGGGAGCAGAACAGGCAGAAGGACCGAAGTACACTGCTGAGGGAAGCAGTGGGCGGCAGGAGAGGTCTGCGCACCATGTGGGACCCTTGCCTGGCGGCCGGGGATGGAACCGGTGCTGCAGAGGCTGCGGGCAGCCTCACAACCCAGCACTCAACCGCTGTGCCACCGGGGAGGCCCTGGGCTATACCTTTAACTAGTATACTAATTGTTACATCATGTTGGACCTGAGTATGTTTAAAATTATGTGTTGGTAAGAGGGGTATATATATATATTATATATATATATATATATATAATAGGTAGTAAAAGAGCATGCTATAGAGATGCTAGTACTTTTGCTACCTGCCCATATTCCCTTCTTAAAGAATCTATGTATAGGTCAAGAAGGGTAGCTTCACCCCCGTATCTGTCACAATCAGTTAAATCAAGGGGGTCAGTTGACTGAGGGTCAACCAATATTTTGGCTTACTTGCGCAAATGAAGTCACTTTTCTCAGGAACCTAGAGATGGCTGAGAAATTGGATTATACAGCCATGGCTCTCTAGCTCATAGCAATGTGTTGCCCATATAGAAGTAAAACAGAGAGAGTTGTCTGTAGGGAGAGTTGGGAGCTGAAAAGTGTTAATGACAAAATGAAGTCTCTGAATTCTTGTTCTGATCTCCATATTTCCCCTCTGATCCAGTTACTTGAATGTTCCTTGTTTTCTGTGAATATACTCTTTTAAACTTCTAGGAAGTTCTTACCTACCCCTTTTTGGTTTCTGCTACCTACAACTAGTTAAATATTTTTGCTACATTATTTTATTATTTCAAAGGCTATGATGTGTGTTCCAAATTCAGCTAAGTTCTCTTGCTTTCATACTTCACTTTCAGCAATATGTGACTGTATAGGGTTCCCTCAAAAAGCTTTGTGCTTTGTACTTTGACTATACTGTGCCTTTTGTGTGAAATACTCATTTGTCCTGTCTTCTTGGGAAAGTAATTTTCATCCTTATGCTTTTGATCTTTGTAGTGATTTCCTTTCCCTTTTCTTCCTTCTCTTTCTCAACTTGAGTCAAAACGAAAAATTTGTTTCTAAAGCACTTTGTATATTATAACATTTATAAACTACATTTTGATTATTATTTTACTGAATATATCTCCTTTAGTCTAAGCCCCTTAGGGATTTGAATTGTCTTATTCTGCTTAATCTTCTGCATTTAGAACTGGATCTACCATGTAGTAGGCATTAAGTAAATCTTTTAGTGAGATTTTCTTTAATCATTGAGTTTATTAGAAATTACTTTGTAGTTAAATTTATAATCAGAGAAGCTTGGATCTCAGTTTAAGCATGTATCAAGAATTAAAATAACATTTTAAAAATAAAAATTTGCGGTATTTTGCCAAACCCTACTAATGCCATATGGAGATGTTTAAAATGCTATTTTAATTTTGGCAAACCTTACTTACCCACTATAAGTTTATCTTTGAATTCTCATATTGAAGGGAATGCCAAGACTCAAATTATAAACCATATTTGCTGAATTTTGTAATATTTCAGATACAAACTCACAAACTCCCACAAAGTGTCACATGGTTTCTATCTTAAGGCATGTTTTGGCTGAAGTTTATTCAAAACAGATTTGGGTTTAAATTAAACCTAGAAAATTTGTTTTACAAAGCTTTATTTAGCATAGCTCTGGAAATGTGACTATATTTGAAGAAAATCTCATTGTCCTCAAAGTGACAGCCTTTTATTAAAAAAAAATATACATATCTGCCTATAGCCTAATTTAGAAGCTACCATATGAAAGAGTTCAGGGGGAAAATTGCTTATACAGCTCATGTAGCTTGTTAAAAATATTAAGGTTAACTTTTCTTTAATATTATATATCCTCTTTCCTGCCATTTTATTTTATTGTACTCATTAAGACTTTTACTAAAACAGTAACCCAAAAGTATGAGGCTTAAGGCAAAGAAATTTGTTGTTATGTCTTTCTACATGGTAGAAGGATCACAATTGAATTTCAAGTGGGTCTGTCCCTAATTTTTAATTTGCAGCACTGAGAATATAGAATATGCACATCTCTACTTTTTTCATTGTAAACGAGTCTTGGACTTGACCCAGCAATGTAGAAGAACATTAATGGAACAGTCACTGACTACACTGAACATTCATCGATTTATTAAGATAATGGAAGCACCTTTTCTGGTATGTGTCTTATTTTAATATATTAGATAACATACATAAAATTTATTGTTTTCATAGATATGCCTTTTACTTATGTGAGCTTTATTTTTCCCCTTTCCTTGGACATGTTTCTTTCACTTAATTCCTCAGTAGAAGAATAGAAGATAAGGATATTCAGAAAATGATATTTTAATGCCTTAGGGTATTGTTGCATTGAAATTATAGATAGTATTTTGTAAGTGGAGGTATTATGTGATAGATATAATGGTTGTGACCAACCTGTGATCACAAAGACTAAATCATGGTTAAGGAAAGATCACTTTTGTGAGTGTCTTGATCACATTTTAAAAGTTGGTAAATATTGGAACTATAGCTCTCCTTGTGCCCCATTTTCCTTAGCATTAGACTGCAAGTATTTCATAAAGACTCAGTCAATTATGGTGATCAGCAGAATTCTGTCTCTGAGAATTTGAAGGACTGAACATATATAAAACTTTCTGTGGGACTGCTCACACAGTATGTCCTTTTTAAAATAAAAACAATGCATGTGCATTACAAGTATTCTAGACACTGTGGCAAAGGGGATAGAAAAAATCATTTAAAAATTGCCTATTCTTATCATTGTTAGTTGACTCTCACACCAGTAGTCTATATACCCATGCAGCTACATGCAGATAGAGGTATGAATGCTATTTTTATTTTTATTTTTTTGGGAAATCCCCATACAGTTCTCCACTGTAGATATACCCACTGTCATTTTAACTTGCATTTTCCTGATGATTAGTGATTTTGAGCATTTTTTTCATATACTTGCTAGCTATTTATATGTCATCTTTGGAGAAGTATCTATTCCAGTCCTGCAGTAAACTTTTAAATTGGTTATTTGCTTTTATATTATTAAGTTGTAGGGGTTCTTTATATATTCTGAATGTTAACCCCTTCTCCATAATGGTTTTCAATATTTTCTCCCAGTTTCAGATTGTCTTTTCACTCTATTGATTGTCCTCTTCTCGGCATTTGTTTTTAAGTTTGAGGTATCTCTTTTTTACCTTTGTTGCCTGTGCTTATGGTATCATATCTCAGAAATCTTTGCCTGTTCCAATGTGAATGTCATGAAACTTTCCCCCTATGTTTTCTTCTAGGAGTTTGATTGTCTCAGGTCTGATATGTAAGTCTTTAACCTATTTTGAGTTAATTTTTGTCCATGTGGGTCCATCTTGATTCTTTCATCTGTGAAGAATTAATTTGCCCAACTCCGTTTGCTAAGGAGATTGTCCTTTCTCAATTGTACAGCTTTGGCACCCTTCACAAAGACCATTGGACTATATACATGAGGGTTTATTTCTGGATTTGTTCTGTTCTCATGCCTGTCTATGCCAATACTATACTCATTTGATTACTATTGCTTTGTACTATATTTTGAAATCGGGGAGAGTAAGGTCCTCACCTTTATTTTTCCATAGATCATTTTGGCTATTTGGGCTTCCTTGAAGATTCCATATGAATTCTAAAATGGTTTTCTATTTCTGCAAAAAATTCCATTAGCATTTTGATAGGGATTGCATTGAATCTGTAGGTGACTTTGTGTAGTCTGTACATCTTAACAATATTAAATCGAACCAGTGAGTGTAAACATGAATGGGATGTCTTTCCATTTATTTGTGTCTTTATTTCAGCAACGGTGTGTAGTTTTCAGTGTACAACTTCTTGTTTCCTTGGCTAAGCTTTTCCTAAGTATTCTTTTTGATGCTGTTAGAAATGGGATTCTTTTTTTAATTTTTAATTTTTTAAATTGAGGCAACATTGGTGTATAACACTGTATGTGATTTAGAAATATAGGATCACATCCTTCAGGTATACATTACTTCACCACACCCATCACCAATTATTTTCTTACTTTCCTTTTTGGATTGTTCATTGTTAGTGTATAGAAGCACAACCTATTTTTGAGTGATAATTTTATATCCTGCAACTTTGCTGAATCAATTCATTAGTTCTAACAGTATTTTTTGTGGCACCTTTAGGGTTTTCTACATGTAAGAACACAGATAATTTTCTTCTTCCTTTCCAATTTGAATACTTTTAACTTTTCTTGCCTAGTTGTTCTGGCTAGGACTTCCCATGCTATGTTGAATGAAAGTGGCAAGAATGGGCATCCTTGTCTTGCTCTGATCTTAGAGGAAAAACTTTCAGTTATTCACCAATAAGTATGATGTTAGCTGTGGTCTTTTCATGTGACCTTTATTATCGTCAGATAATTTTCTTCCATTTTCTATAGTATTATCATGAAATAATATTAAATATTGTCAGATTTTCTTTTTGTATCTCCATTGGGAGATGCTCATTTGATTTTTGTCCTTTGTTTTGTTAATGCAGCTTATTACATTTATTGATTTTCATATATTGAACCATCCTTGCATCCCAGGGGTAAGTCCTGTTTGATCATGGTACTTAATCCATTTAATGTGCTGTGGAATTAAATTTGTTAGTATTTTGTTGAAGCTATTTATGTCAGTATCCATAAGGTTTTTCTGTGTAGTTTTGTTTTCTTGTATCTTTGTTTGACTTTGATTTCACAGTAGTGTTGGTCTCATGCAAGGAATTTGGAAATGTTCTTTCCTCTTAATTTTTGGGAAAGATTTTGAGGGAGGCCTTAGGTGTATGGTACCACTGTGTTACTTTTCCTACCTACAAGGTAGAAATGGATTATAACTTTGTAATTAAGAAACTACAAGGTTTTAAAAGAATTGTATCAGCTTTTATGGAAAGGGAAAGAAATACTACAAAGTAAAAAGAGGCCTTCAGATCTCCAAATTTCTTTCTTTTTTTAAGATTATTTATGCATACAAAAGCTGGGGTACAGGCCAGAGGTGGGGTAGGGTGAGAGGGTTCACCAGAGCCAGAGTGGGGAACAGAACAGGCAGATTGACTGAAATAAACTGCTGAGGGGAGCAGCGGGCAAGTTAGAAGAGGTCTGCTCCCTGGCTGGGGATCGAACCCTTGGCTGCAGTGGCTGTGGATAGCTTCATAGGTTGCATCTTAACCCATCACACCACCAGGGAGGCCCAAGATCTTCAAATTTCTATAGGCAAGAAAAGGCTGAGTAATCTACTAAGCTGCAAACAACACAGGCTCTTTTTGTTGTTGTTTTCTTTTGTTTTGTAAAAAAAAAAAAAAAAAAGGATGAGTTGGAGGGCAGGCCAAGAATCCAGAGTTTGTAGTTGGTCACCTCACATAACAACCCTCTGGAAGTAGGACTGAAATCTAATGAAGGAACTGACAAAATATGCCCAGATGGACTTCAGAGTTCCTATGTGTTGGTGATTGTTGTAGTCTCTGTTTTTCCCCTTTTAAACAGGTGTATGTTTAGTGATAATCCTATGCCTATTCCATTATTGTTGGATATGTTTTAGAGACAAATAATTTATCTCTTTTAGTTCACAGGGATTCAGATTTGGAGGGTTAATTCTCAAGGAGCTATCCCCATGGAACTACATTAGAGGTGCCTCATCTACACCTGGACATGATTGTAGATGATGAAATCTTAGACTTTATACTGGTCTCAAAGTCTGACAGGATGATGCTCTGGACATCTTGGAGATATGTGTATTTTACATATGAATTGTAGCCAGTGAAGCCCATGTGAAGAAAATTGGAATCCCTAGCCCACAACCCTGACTGAACTTATAATAGTCAACAGCTTGCTAGCCATGTGGATGAGACATCTTTAAAGTGGGACCTTCAGCTCCCCATCAGAATACCCCACTAAAAACACATCTGTTCACAGAGCAGAGATAAGCTTGCAAAGATGAGCTTGCAGCTTGCAGCTATATACAACAGCAAGAAAATTTTTGTTATTTTGTCATCGTTTTTTGTGGTGCTTTTTTATACAGTTATAGGTGCTTGAAATACATCCTCCAACTGATCTCCTCTGTTTCTGTGACTCAGTTCTGAAATCTGAATTTTCAGGTCACATGTTTTTTTGGAGTGCTGTCCCATAGATCTAACTACTAATTAGATATGTCTCTTCTTAAGCTCAACATGTCCAACATTAATGTGTTGTCTTTCTCTACCATCTGTTCTTTCTATATTATCTTAGTTGATTTACTATCCAGTTATTCATGGCAGAAACCTGGGGAATCATTCTCAGTGCTTGCATCTTCCTGTATCTAATTTTACATCTTAAATATCTTTTGAGTTTTTCACTTTAACAGCTAATACTTTCTACCTCTCATAGTACTACTTTAGTAATAGTAACTGTTCTGGTCTCTGTTCCTTTATTTTCATTCCTTTAAATTCATTATCCCAATTGCTGGCAGAGGGGTATTTTAAAACTACACATATACGATCACATTACATGTTTCTAACAATTCCTAAATGGCTTCACTTTATTCACAGAAAATATATACATTTAATGATCTGGCCCCTTGCCAATCTCTAGCCTTACTGCTTATTTCTCCTTTTTACTTTATGATACTGAATTACTTATAGCTCTTCAAATACATGAGGTAAAAACAGATTTTCTCCTCCTTCAGGCTGCTCTACTCACTCAGGTTTTTGGCATAATTCAATTTCGTGTGGTTTTGTGACTGAAATACCCATCCTCTTGTTGGCTGTTGACTAGTGTTAACACTCAGCTCTTACAAGTTGTTCCCAGGTATAAGCCACATGACCCTCTCCAAAAATTGCAGCTTTCTTATTCCAAGCCAGCGGGATAATCTCACTCCAATGTGCTATAATAGAGCCTTGTATAATATACCCTTATCAAGGGAATAGCTGTTCTGTGTCTCACTCAAGGGATTGGGATTAGACAAGGCTTGTTCACCAGGAATCTCGGAGGTTATCTTAGAATTTTGTCTACATAAATAAAGGATTATTTGGAAAATTTTAGGATTAAAAAGTCCTTAATAACTGGAAAGTTTGCAAAAATGTATCTTTCTGCATATCTGTTTTTATCCACTATGTTGGCTACTCAGTGGGTTCTTTTATTTTAGCAAATATTTTTCAGTTGTGGGGAACTT